CCACGGCCTAGGCACCGGGGAGGGCTCGGGCCATGCCGGGAGCGTGGAGCACCGCGGGCAGCACCGCTCAGCTCTGCTCTGCCCTGGGAAAACGAGCCCTGAGCCCGCCCGCGACCGAGCATCCCTGCCGAGGGAGGAAAGGGCTGGGGCGCAGGGATGATTACCTTCATGTGTTTCCTAAGTGAGCTGGGGTGGGTGTAGGATTTGTCGCACACCTTGCAGATGTAGGGCTTGTCCGAGGTGTGGACGTGCATGTGTTTCTTCCTGTCGCTGCTGTTGGCGAAGCGCCTGTCGCAGCCCTCAAACTCGCACTTGAAAGGCTTCTCACCTGTGAAATTCAGAGAGGGTGAAGGAGGGCTGTTCCCCTCTCCATCCCCACCTGCCTCCTCCCAGGACAGCCTCTACCCCGCACACCCCACCTTGGGGATACACAAGCACCCCAAAAAAATGAAGATGGTGCAGATGGACAGCAGGGTTTGTTACATGTTGGATGAATTCGGGTCAGCCTTTGTTACTTTTAATTTGCGTCCCGCTGGGCCAGCGCTGGGCTACAGCGGGGAGAGCGGCTGGGGGAGGCTGGGAAGGGAGAAGACCCGAGATAAATTCAGTGTCTCGGACAGTTTTACAAGACATACTGAAGGATACAAGCCAAAATACATTTGCTTCCTGCCTTTCCCCCACTTTTCCCTCCACCCGGGTGGAGGGCTGAAGGCAAATAAAAATACTTTGACAAAAGTATCGCTCATTTAATTAGGAGAAACGCCAATCAGGCCTAAAAATAAAATAAAAAGGAGCGGAAGTCACCGAAAATGAGATTTCATTAGCATTTCTATGGTTCCCTCCGCAGAGGCGCGCAGGGGGCCGAGAGCGGCTGCAGCCCTATGGGAGGCGTGTGCCCCGGGTGGGGGGACCCACGGGCCTTACCTGTGTGCGTCCGCTTGTGGATCTTGAGGTTCTCAGAGCGGGCAAAGATCTTGCCGCAGCCCGGGAAGGGGCAGGGGAAGGGCTTCTCCCCCGTGTGCACCCGAATGTGGTTCACCAGTTTGTATTTCGCCTTGAAGGACTTGCCTTCCCGCGGACACTCATCCCAGTAGCAGATGTGGTTGTTCTGCTCCGGCCCCCCGACGTGCTCCATG